CTTGAAAATCCCAAGGCCCTGAGCACGATGAGAGCAAGCGACAGACCCAAGCCCAGCAGTTTTTTAAAGGGCAAACAAAATGTTCCTTTTTTTTTACGGCGAGGCGCTTGGTGCAAAGTGCGGGCAGAGCAGGGCAGCGGATCCCGGAGTGGCTTGAGGGGAAAGCTCCCAAAAGCACACTATATTCGAATTTAATAGGATGGTTACTGTAAGTTTATATAAATGCCAGTTAAATATTAATGGCATCTTTAGCGGGGATTAATGGGGTCTCCTGCGTTGCTTTTAAACACCCTGAAGAGGATGCTGGTAGTCACTGCCTGCCTTCAGTGTAAGGGATTGCGGGCTGAGTGCCCGTGAGGATGCTTCTTGCATTCAGAAAACTGGCCTAGAAACGGCCCCAAACGGGCAATTTCTCCAGCTCGGCAGAGGAATGCCTTTGGGGCGAGAAGGGCTCAAAACGGCTCCAGCCAAGTAAGGCTCTCAATCATTGTTTCTTAATTGGGGCCACCGTTAACGAGGGGGATAAATGAGTCAGCGTGGTGAGCGGAGCGGGAGCCCACGTCCTTTGTGTCTGCAGTGAATGGTTGTAGACACTGAGGGCTCAGTAGTTATTCAGGAAAAGCTCCCCCGCACTCGTGTGTCATTCACCTGACTAATGCCAAGAAAATTAAGCACTTTTTTGCAACTCTGGGCTTACTGGAGGATAATGTGGTACGCGATAGCACGAATGGGGTTATGAAATCATGTTTTCATTTGGAAGGAACAAGAATGACTGGAGCATAAATTATGTTTCTGATCATATTTGGCAATTTCAGATTAAAAATAAATTTCCACTTTGGGGTTATAGATTGCCATCTATCAGCTTTGTGAAAAGGAAAAAAGGAATTAAAAGAAAAATCTGGCTGTACAAATTGCCTTGCTATGACCTACTTATTGAGAGTAATATATTTTTTTTTCGGGAATTAAATCTTTCAGTGTGTAGGGAGGTGTAGTATGGTATCTATATAGGTTTGTAGGCAGGTGTATAGGCACAGGTTGTACGAGAGGATCTGTCGACCATCCCTGCAAGCAGCTTACATGCAAAAGAGATGCTAGAGTTGTGCCAGAAGATTTCTGAGACAGCTGAAAAAACTGCAGCGATCACGCTGTTTTACTTGATGGAGGGACTTGAACTGCAATTTTGCGTCTGGCTGTCAGCCTTCAGGACCACTCGGATCCGCAGGGTCAGACGCTTGGGCTTGGTTTTGCTCAGAAAGCCCGAGCTCGGGCAGCATTTGCTGGAAGGCTCGCAGGCTGGGCAGGAGGAGCCGGGGTGCTCTCTCCTCCAAGTCTCCCCCCTCCTCAGCTATTGCTGCTCTGATAGAGACGCTCCTCCGCAGGGTGAACCCCACGGGCTCTTGCTCTTTCCAGCCCCTTCCCTGGCCGTGTTTTCGGCATCCTCCCTGCCAGCTGCCGTCTCCCCAGGGGAAATCCTTCCCCTGCCTCCATCCCTGCCACTGCTCCTCTTCCCAGGGAGGTCCGGAGCGATGCCAGCCCTCTCTTCCCTGCCCACGTCCCTTGTGCTACCCTGTTTGTGGTCTCTGCCAGGAGAGGGGGGCCTTTAGCCTTGCTGGAAAGAAGGAGGTTGTGGAGATAGCTGCGGAGATAAATATATACCTAGAGTGTGCCTGCGCTTTGCTCATTCTGTTTGTCTCCTGCCTGTTGCTTGCGATGGGAAAAAAAAAATAAAAAAAATAAAAAATACTTTTATCTAAGTGGGAAGAAGCTGAAAGCAAGAGGCTGCGTTTCGTGCTCGGATAGGTGCTGCTTTGCAAGTAGCTTAGCCCATGTACGGCAGACTCTTCTGCTGTGGTCAAAAACCAACGAAGGAAAAAAAGACTCTCTCATCCCCAGAGAGCCTACAAAGCTCTCTTTCTCTGGCTGCTGAACCTTCACAGCTGGACTCAGTTGCTGGCTCCTCTGCTGCTGGAGCAACTGAATTATTTAAAGGAACCTTGATTTCGTTTGCTCTTTGCTGTTTTCGTGCATTGTGTTTATTGTCTATAGATATTTTTACAGTCTGAAGCAATTACAGCTGTCAGAAAAGAGACGAGCTGTGACAGGCTGATTTATATGTACATTGTATGTATGGAAGAGAGGGAGAGCTGGAGAAGGGGCGATAGACCAGGGATTCTGCTGGGCTGTAGCATGCAGGAGCTGGCGACATTGGGTTTAAATTCCTTGGGATTTTCAGGCAGTGCTGCTGATGCCCTAAGTGGGCTGAATTCAGCCCTTGCAAGGGCCGAAGCTCCTCGGCAGGTCACATTCTGCCCCAACCTCTCACGCTTTGGGCACGGGCAGGTGCTTTCTCTTGTGATTGAAGATGCTCCTGGCAATCCGGGCCCCAACGCCGGGTGAAAAGGTTAACTGGCTGTAGTCACCGGACTCCCTTTGGTTTTGCTGACACAGGAGACTGTCTCTGCCCGTCCAAAGGAGCAGCCTCACGCCGAGAGCAAGCTCTCGCGTGATGAGCCTGGCGATGGCTTGGGGGGGTCCTGCACACGAGGGGGGTGTCCCCGGCAGCGAGGGGCTTGCGCGGCGGGGTCCCCGTCCTCAGATGGGCGCTTGGATGCTGCAGCTGTCAGCAAAAGCAGTGTCTTTTATTTTTTGTGGACTTGCGCGCCCCGGCGCAACGCCATAACCTTGCGTGAGGAGTTTCACCCCACGCTGATGGGCTCTTAACTTTCCCCAGTTAGGTTTCAGAGGCCTCTCCGGTGTAATTTCTGGGCTCAGAGGATCTGCTGAAGGCAGGCGTTTGCCCCTCCAGACCAGCCAGGAGCAGCACAGTGAGCTGCGGAGATTTAAACTCCTTCTGCCAAGAGCTGGGGAAAGCTGGTGTCCCCTCTGGGGAAACGTGGGACTCGAGGCAGCACGTCCCACCAGCGCTAAATTCAAGGAGCAGGGAGCCCTCAGAAGAGGGAGAAGGAGAGAGACTTGCAAAGCAATCCCCTTCTTATATGACCTATCAGCACGCACAATAATAATAAAGCTTTATTTGATTGAGTGTTTCCTCTGCCTGGCACAGCTCATAATGTTTTAGAGATTAAATAGCACAGTTAGTGAATTAAGCAGTAGTTTACAGGGGATTCGGAGACTCCAGGGATTAGTAACGGGCTATGGATCCTTTCACATCTAGGTCACCAGTTTGAATCCAGCTCAGGTTGGCAGCGATTTCAAAAAAAAAAAAAAAAAATTGGTGCCGTGTAATAGCTGCCGAGCACGCGGTGGGGAACGGAGGGAGGGAGGACTTTTGGATAAGGTCCCGTGTCGCAGAGAAGTCATTGGGGACAGCGGGTGGAGGAGGCCTGGATTCCCCTAATGCTGGGCTGCTGCAGCTCCGGGGAGGGGGGGGGGGGAGCTTCCAGGGGCGCAGCGCCCCGAAAGCTGGGGCTTGGCTCTGCTCTTGCTCAGTGGCTCCAGGACTTTGTGCTCTGAGGATGGCTCCCTGGCACCTTTTACCAGCATGAAACTGTGCCTGGAAATACTAATGTGTTTAGCCGCTAGCGGAGGGAAGGAGGAATTACTAGGCATAAGCAAATGCGATATTTGTTAAATTATGAGCTGATAAAAAGTATGCGGGGACCGTGCTTGTGGCTGGGGAGGAATTTGCCACTTAAGCTCACGCAGAGGATCAGGAGGGCACGCTCCTGCCTCTCCCCGTGCCCACCTGCCTGACGTTGGTGGGGGGGGGAAAAAACTGCCTCGTGCCTCAGTTTCCCCTCCTGCATAGTGGCTTTGCCACCCGGGGAGGGGATGGTGCAGGGGTAGAGGAGGGAAAATATTAGAGATAGTACGGTGCTGGCCGCGGGGCGCAGGTAAGCGTGCCGGGGAAGGGGAGGGGGGGGGGTGGGGGGTCCTGACATCCCGTCCCCCGAGGAGCGTGGCGCGGCAGGGGTTAAAGGCTGGCGTGCGAGGTGCGCGCCGCCCCCCCCCCCCCCCAGCTCCCCGCCTGTGCCTGGGTGCGGGTGCTGGGTGCTGTGCGGGGGGTGCGGGAGCCAAAGGGCCGGTCAGTGATGGAGCCGCTGCCATGACAACCCCGGGAAGTCAGCATCCGCGCCGCCCAGGGATGCTGCCGGCCAGCCGCGCCGGCGGGGCTGGGATGCTGCCGCCGCCTCTTCTTCTTCCTCCTCCTCCTCCTCCTCGCCCGCTCTCCCGCGCCCCGTCCACCCGCCGCTGAGGGCACCCCGACAGCCCCCCATCCCGGCATCCTGCATCCCGCCTGGACCAGCCCGTCTTTGGGACCCGACAGCGGGGCTGGAGGAGAGAAACCGCGGGGCATCCCGGAGGCCTTTGCCCGCTGTGCCTTCTTGCATCCGGACCCGTTTCCTAGCTCGCTCCGGGGGGTGTTGTTTTTTTTTTTTTTTGTTTTTTTTGGTTTGGCTTTTCACTGGTTTTTGGACTGCCCCCGCTCCGCGCTGCGGAGGGGAGCTGCGAACTCGGGACGAGTGCGCGGGAGCGGGGCGCAGCCGGGCGGCTCCCCCGGCGCCTCCTCGCCCAAGTGAGCCTCGGACAGCTTCCCGGGAAGAGCCGGCTCGCCCAGCGTCCAGCACCTTTGCCACTTCTCCTCCTCTTCCTCCTCCCCCACCCCCGGCCCTCCCGTCCTCCTCCCTCACCCAAGGATACTGGGGACTCCCTCCGGATGCCGCTCGGCAGGCTCAGTGCTCGCAGGCTGCCGTGCCGGGGGCTCTCCTGATCTCCGTGGAGCTCCGCATCGCTCGCCCCGGTCGTTTTGCTCCCCCCCATCCCCACATACACGCACCCCATCCCTCCTCTTCCCCCCACCCCCCCCCCCCACCCCCTTACCCCCCACCCCCTTTTCGCTCCTGGTGGCCTTGTCGGGGGTGTTTTTTGCCTGTTGGAAAAGTCCCTGCTGCCCAGGATGGGGGTCGGTGGGTGCTTAGCCCTGCCCTGGAGGTGCCTAGTCGTCCTCTGTCTCAGGCTGCTCTTCCTTGTGCCCGCAGGAGTGCCCGTGCGCAGCGGAGATGCCACCTTCCCCAAAGCTATGGACAACGTGACTGTGCGGCAAGGGGAGAGTGCCACGCTCAGGTAGGAGCCGCTGGATTTCTACCTTTTTTTTTTTTGGGGGGGGGGGGGGGGCGGCCGGTGCCTTCGGGGACGTGACTCAGTTTCCCCGCGGCTGGGGGATGCATCGTGTCGGTCGGCGGTGCAGGACAGGCGCCGGGCAGCAAGCTGAGAAGGAGATTTGGGGACCGGGCTTTGGCTCAGCTCCCCCCGCCGCCCCCAGGTGTCACCAGGAAAGTTATTGGGGTGGGGGGGGGTGAAAAAGGGGGGAGAGCAATTCCCTCTTGGCCCCCTCTTCCACACCGGAGCGAGGCACGGGCTGGGCTCCTGCTGTCGGTGGTGACAGCTCGGGCACTGTGGCTGCGTTTGGGGGGGGTGGAATCATCATTTTGCTCCCGGGGTGCCTTTGTGCCTGTCAAACCAACCCAGCCTGAGGACTGGGGGAGCTGATAGACTCCCCACCCTGCCACTCCCCCCCCGGCAGTGGGGTTTTGTGCCTTTTTCCCCATCTCCAGACCCGCTGGGATGTGGGGAGCGTGGGATGGGGCTGGCTCCGGGCAGGGGGCTGCTGCCCTCCCGAAAAATCCCCTTGCTCCGGGGCAGGAGGGCTGCTCCTCCCCACACCAGCATTAACTCTTTGTTGGGGGGGGTGGGGGGGAGTGGAAACATGAGACTGGGCGTTGCACCGGGGTCCTGTCGCCTGCAGCAGCAATCTGAGGGGGGCTGGGGCTGCCGAGAAAACCGTAATTTCGATCGGCGTAACTTCTGGGACATCTTACGCCCGGATCCTCATCCCTGTCCTCGCAGCAGATGGGCGCAGGTTGTCCCAGAGGATGTTTTTTGATAGGGACGTTAAAAATAAAAAGCCAGCTTTTAACTGCAGCGCTGGGAAGGGGCCGCTTGCAACTCCGGCGTGCTCGGGAGTGACTTTCCTCCGCCGGCGTGTTGCATAGGTGACACCAACATCTGCGGGGCCAGCTGGGTGTGTGCGGTGGAAGCCGCACTCCTGCTTTACGCCAGCGAGTGAAGCAGGGCCAAACCAGGGCAAAAACAAAAACAAAAAAAGAATAAATAAATAAAAAAAAATAAAACCTTAAGGAGGCATTTCAGCCAGAGGTCTCCAAGCGATGGGAGGATTTAAATCATGGGCTTAGCTTGGCCCGTGGAGATGTGAATCCCCTCCCTACGTATTTCTTGCAACTCAGCTGTTTGCTGCTGAGCCTCTCGCCCCCCCCCAGCCCTCACACTTTCCCAGGAGGGAGCTGTGTTGTGGCCATCCCTGCGGATTTGTCTTGTGCCGTGGCACGACTGGGCAAAGAGGTTTGGAAATGGGTGGCCGAGAGTGGAGGATGGGGTGTCTCGCTTAGGAATTTGGAGGAAAAAAAAAAAAAAAAAGCCAAACCCAAAAAGTAGTTCTTTTCCTCTCCTGAATCACCGGGCTCTGCCAAGCACTGAAAAATCCTACAGATTTTGGCATGGGGGTACCGGAGAGGGGAGGGGTTTGGGTTACTGGAGGTCTGGGTGGTGTGGGCACGGACGCTGTGCAAACTTACAGGGAGGAGGAGAATTGTTCACGCTGTAGCAGGGGCCCGCAAGGTGTTTGTGGCCCGGATCCTGGCGGTGCTGTGCCCCGGCGCCGGGCGCTCGCCCGCTGTCGAATGAAGGCAAGCTGGGGTGAGTCAGCAGGAGGGATGCTTTTTTCCTTCTGTCCGCGAGGCCTGGTGAGAAGTTGGGGGGGGGGGGGGACACACGGACACACTCAAATGGTGGCCCTGGGGAGGGGCGGGCAGCGGCTTCTCATCGCCCCCACAACTGCCGTGCGCGCGTCCCAGTTCAGCTGGGGAGCTGGTGTGGGTGGGAAGGGGATGAGCTGTGCCCCCCCCCCCCCGGGGGCTTGCACACGCGGGCTTTGGGGTGCGCAAACCGCGGGGATGATATCCCCACGGGCGCGCTATTGCCGCCCCTCGGGCGGGCGTCGCTCTTGGAAAGGAACGGCTCGCTGCCGCCGCCACCTCGACACGCGGCTTTGGGAGCCAGAGAGGTGGAAGACTGTGTTTTGCACTGGCGTTTTGGGGCATTTTCCTTCTGGTTCGAGGCGGGAGCGGTTAGCCTGGCCGGCGGTGGTACGTTGCTGCGTCCCCCGGGAGTTTCCCGGTCCCTGCAGCCGTGCTGGGCTGTGGCAGGAGCCGAGAGGAGAGGAGCGCGTGAAAAACCACCCATTGCCAGAGGAGGAAATCAAGGAAGCGTGAATCTTCCTGCCCATTCCCCTCCCGGCTGCAGCCCGGCATAACCATCGATCTGTTGTGGTAGGAGTTAACTTGTTCAGAATAGCAACGCTGCTCAGAAAGGCTTCGGGGGGGTCTCCAGTCTCCTCCTGCCCAGCCTGCCAGGGTGGCAGGCAGGGAAGGGTGCATGGGAAGATTAAAAAAAAAAAAAATAGGGTCTCCTCTTTTCCCACTCATTTCCCTGTGAGGTGGGAGGATGTTGAATTGCAGCCAAGGATTTGGAAGGCAAGAGATGTTTCTAGAGGTCCCTTCTTGATTTTTCACAGCCAACAAAAGGGAGAGCAAGCTGAGAACTTCGCAGCAGAAGTTGCCGCTTCTCTGAAGCGCTTGGAAAGTCCTGTCCCCTCCCGAGGGAGAGGGCTTGGCTGTTGGAAATAGGTTGTTTTATCTGGGGTGGCGGGGTGCCGAGGACCCCAAGCTGCTGTCGAGCAACGGTGCCCTGCCAAGGAGGCTCTTTTCAGCTCCATCCCCGCCGCCCCTCCGAGCAGAGCTAATTCAGCACGGGAGAAAGAAGCTGGGTTAACAGCCGGGAGGAGACTTCCCCCTTGTGAAGGGCGCAGGCTTTGCTCTGTGCAAACCCAGCTACTGTAAATCTACCATTAGGAGTCAGTTTAGGACCAGGATCATATTTTGATATTTCCTTCCGTCTCATGATATCTGCTGGAGGGTGCAGTCATGTGTCTCGCTTCAGCACCAGCACTTTAGATCACTGTATTAAATTTAAACCTAGGTTTAGACCTTGGCATAGAGCTACCGTCTGGGAGAGGAGGGGCGGGATTTGCTCCTGGGCGCAGCAAAATTTGCAGGAATAGGAAAAGGGTTTGTGGGTGTTGGGTTGAACAGCCTGGCGTTTTTACTGGTGCAGGGGCTGGGGCTGCTCCTGCTCTTGGGGCTCGCGTGTGTGCGAAGGTCAGGGCTGGCTGGGGCTGCTGGATCTCAAAAGGCCACGTCGTGAGGATGAGGCTGGTCTGCATCCTCACCGGTAGCGAGCGGTTCACGCTGGAGAAGACCCGTCCTGAACCTCCATCCGGCTCTTGAACCGAGTCCAGGCGTTGCTGAGACCTTTGGAGCAATTCTCTCGGCACCAAAACAAATGGCTTGATTACGATTTCACTTTAATTGGCGTCAGTCAGCGCTTTCCACGGCAAGGCTCTGATGATCCCATCAGCATGCACAGGCGATTGCATGGCATCCCCCCAGATTCGCCCCTATCCCCCCAAATTCACTGGTGCCCCAGGCAGATGGCGAGCAGATCTGGCTGCGGGGCAAGGACCACTTCTTTCGCAGGCCCCTTTTTACACCTCCTCTGTTTTTTTTTGGCAGGGTGATGCGATGCCTTTTTTTGTTCCTCCTTTGATTCTAACGCTGAAAGTCAAATCTGAGTTTAACATGAGTCAAAGCTTTTTTTTTTTTTTTTTTTTAACCCTGATGCTTCCTGCGGTTTCCACTCAGGCTTTGAAAAGGGCCATGCACTTTGCCACTGAGATCTGCCATGGTTTACCTAAGCCTGTTTTGCAAATTTATTTTGCCCCTGTTGTGCTCTTGAAATAATTTTGGAGAAATGATAACTTGGCCGCGAAACAAAACAAAATCAAGCATGTTTGTTTGACTGATGCAAACAGAAAGTGCTTGTTTGCTAAGCAGAAAAGAATATTTCTCAGAAATGGGTCTGTTTTCTGTGACTCTTTGCTGTCCCATCTTTCCCCCTTTATCAACGGAAATTTGCCTTTTTGTGGTGTTATTGTGTAATATGGAAAACGGGGCCGGTCTCTGACGGATACCAGCGTGGTGCGTTCCAGCCCGCTGCTTTCGCTCGGGTCCTGGGAGCGGGGGGAGGCTGCGTGTTCCCCCCAACCCGTGCCCAGGCAGGGCTGCTCCTGCCAGGGCTTTGAGCGATGGCGATTCTGCGCTGAGGTTTTGGGCAGCTGCCTTTGTGGTTTGCAGTCGATGAGCCCAGAAAGCCTGCCAGGGGACAGGGAAAAACCCTCTCCGGGCCCTCTGTCCCCGAGAAAAGCGGTGCTGGCTCATCCCCGTAGCCGGGGGGCTGAGCGATGGGGGGGCTCTTGGTGCAAAGAGGGAAAACCAGGCAGGGCAGAGGGTGTTCACGGAAGGATCCGGCCGTGATTGCTACATCTCGTTGGGTAATTTCACAGCTCCGTGTCCGTTTTGCTCGAGGCTCCCACTTGCTGGTGGTGGGAGCTGTTAACCCCAGCGAGGGGGTGTTGCTTGCCCAGCCCTTTCCCACACACCCCAGGAAACCTTGAGTTACCTGCTGCTCATCACAGCCCTCCCAGCTCCTGCCCTACCCAGCCACCCCCCCCCCCCCCCCAATCCTTGCACAACCACCCAACTCCTCATTTACTGGATCTCCCTCCCCAGGGCTCAGGCATGTGGCACGTTGCTCCCGGGAAATAGTCATCCCATTCTGATGATCTCCAAGCCCAGCCCATGGGAAATATTCATCCTGCTATAATTATTTATTTCAGAGTCTCACTTAGAAGAGACTGAAGCTCCCGGCTGCTTCCCTGCCCGCTTCCTAAGCCCAGACTCGGGGGGATATAGCTTGGGCTTCCAGACTGCAGAGGCCAAGGTGTATTTACTTTGCTTTTCTCGGTTACGGAGCAGTGCAGGACTTTAGAGCGCTTGGGTTTGGGTGGGACCAGCCCCCTGCACTCCTGTGGGCATGGGGTGAGGATGGAGCTAAGCTGCCAACTCGTATATTAACAACCAAAGTTTATT